GAGGAGAGCCCCAGAGCCATGGCAGCCGGCACCCAGCTCGCTTCCATCCAGCGGCCCAGACGCCGCGGCCGCGGGCGATGCCCCTTCCCCGCCGTGGGGACCCCCCCGCCCCACGGCCGCTGCCCCCCGCGCCGCGCAGGCTTTGCTCCGCCGGTGCCCACGCCACGGGCCGTGCGCCGCCCCCCCCCCTCCTTCCAAAGGGATGCTCTCCCCGCCCCCGGCCCCCCAAATCTCTCCCCCCGGGGGAGGGGGGAGCACAAAGGGGGGGCAGCGGTCCTCCACCTGCCTGCGGGTCGCAGCCCACCCCCCCCCCGACATGACGTGCCAGCGGTGGGGGCACCCTGGGGAAAACCATGGGGAGGGGGCAGCCCCCCTGGGGCTTTTGGGGGGTTCTTTGCCCACCCCAGGCTGAGCTCGGCACCCCCCTCCCTGCCCTGATACCCGTTTTGGGGGGTCTGAGTGTCACCCCTCCCTGAGGGGTCTGCGGGGGGTGAGGAACCCCCTCCACAGGGATTGGGGGGGCTGACTGTGTGCGGGGGGGCCCCCGCACCCCCGTTTGGCACCGTGCCTCAGTTTCCCCGTTGATGTGACAGAGAAATCGGGAAAGGGGGGTGAATCCCACAGGCACCCACAGAGCCCCACAGCACCCAGATAAATCTGGGTCACCTGCAGCAGACAGACACCCTCCATGGGGACAAAACCCTCCTCTCTGTGCCCCCAGGGGGGCTTCACACCCACCTCTGCCCCTGCCAGGGTGAACCCAGCCCTTAGCACCCAGCTGGGGGGGCAGTAGCACACCCGTAGGAGGTGGGACCCCCAAAACCCCCATGGCCACTGCGGGGAGTCCCTGTGGGGACAAATCCCCCCTGTCTGTGCCCTAAGGGGTGCTCACACCCCCCTCTTCCCCTGTCCAGAGGACCCCAGCTCACAGTACCCAGCTGGGGGGCAGTGGGGCGCAGGGAGGGGAGGGACCCCCCAAATCCCCATGGCTGTGCAGGGAGGGGAGCCCTTGGCAGCACCCAGATAAGACCAGGGGCTGTTATCGGGGCACCCAGACCCAGCACCACCCTCCACCCCGCTGGGGGTGCCACTGGGTCCCAAAAATGTGAGACTGACCCCCCACCTGCATGGGCTCCCCAAATCGGGCTGGCAGAGGGGGGACAGCACTGGTGTGACCCCATGGCTGGAGGGACCTTGTGGGGGACCCCATGGGTGTCTCCAGGCACTGGGGGGCTGCTGTGGGACTGTGTGGGTGTGGGTGTGTGTGCGTGTGCAAGGCTTGTTCCTCCTTGTCCCTGCAATTTGGGTTTGGGATTTGGGCCCGGGACCCCTTTGGAAAGTCTGTGAATATAAAGACACATGCGTGTGCATGAACACACATGCACAGATGTGCACACACACACACACACACGTATGTGTGTGCAAATACACATGTGCAAATACATGCTTGTCCACAGAGGGATGGATGTACACATGGATGTACAGACACGTGCACACATGGATGTGCCCTCACACACACACAAATGTGCTCATGGATGTGCACTAACACACATACCCACACACGTGTGCACAAACACACACACACACACTCAGCCCTTCCTATTCCACCCCCTCTCCAGGACACCCCAATGACACCAATCCCACGGGACAGACGGACACCCCGTCACATCCCCCATCCCCGTGTCCCCTCCCCGTGCCTCCTCCCCGGGGAACCTCCCCGGGAACCCCCTTTTTTTTTTAATTTTTTTTTTTTTTTGGAAAAAAAAGAGAACACCCCAACCCCGTGGGGATGGGGGACAGCCGGGGGGATTCCGGGGATTCCCCGCAGGGAAACCCGGAGGTAAACAAGATATGGGGGGGCAGCAGGAGCAGGGCCGGTGGTGCCGGGGCAGGCAGAGGGCCGGGGGGGCAGTGGGGCACAGGCGGGGCACGGCCTCGCGCCTCAAGATGTTGCACCCCGATAACCTTGTTTACGGGGGGCCCCGGGGGGGCCGGGTGAGCCCGAGGGGGGCGAGATTAGGGAGGTGAGAGCGTGACTCAGGGCATTGGTGTCTCGCAGCCCGGGCAGCCACAGGCAGAGCGCAGGCAGGGGCGTCCGGAGGCACCCCAGGGGTAGGTGCGGGGTCACCTGGGGGTGTCCCCGGGGTGGGAGTGGGGGGACGGGGTGGGCGGGGGGATGGTGAGGCCAGGCAGGGCTGGGAGGGCACCCTGGGGTGCCCTCGGTGGGGGGTGGAGGGTTGTCAGCAAGGGGGTGCTGGGGTGGGAGGTGCTGCGGGATGGGGGGTATGGGCTCCCTATGGAGACACGGGGGGAGGACCCCCATCCATACTGCGTGGATACCTCGGGATATGTGGGCTTCATATGGAACCAGGAGAGAGATCCCAGCCGCGCCGTGTGGATGGCATGGGATGTGTGGGCTCCATGTGGAGCCGTGGGGGTACCTGTGGTGGGACAGACCCCAACCACACTGTGGATGGCATGGGATGTATGGGCTCCATGCTGAGCCACGTCAGGTACCTGCTGGATGAGGGATTGCAGCCACATTTGTGTGGATGGCATGGGATGTATGGCTTCCATACCATATGGAGCCACAGAGATTGTACCCACTGTGAGAAGGAGCTGAGCCTCAGCTGAGCTGAGTGGATGGTCTGGGATGTATGGGCTCCATATGGAGCCATGGGGCTCCCTGCTGCGGGAAGGACCCCAGCCATGGCACAGGGATGGTGTGGGATATGTGGGTTCCACACTGAGCCATGGTGACTGTACCTGCTGCAGGAAGAACCCCAGGCACACTGTGTGGATGGTGTGGGATGTATGGGCTCCATGCTGGGTGGTGCTGGATATATGGTGTAGGAGCTCAGTCCTGAGCTACTCTGGCTGTATGGCATGGGATGTTTGGGCTCCATTATGAGCCGTGGTGGCTGTACCCACTGCAGGAGGGATCCCAACCACGCTGCATGCATGGCGTGGGATGTATGGGCTCCATAGGGGGCACGTTGGCTGTGTGGCGTGGGAGACACAGGCTCTGTACATGGGGTGTGTGGTGTGGGAGGCACGGACTCCAGCCCACGCACACGATGAGGGACGTGGGGGCTCTGTACCATGCAGGAGGGTCGTGGTGCAGGACGTGCTCTGTCCCGTGCCCCGTGATGTGCAGGGCTGGACGTGTGGGCTCCGGGCTGGACGTGTGGGCTCTGTCTCACACACCTGCCGCGGGACATATGGGCTCTGTACGGTGTGAGGATGGATTCAGCAGGTCCAGGTGACCTCGCTGGAAGGTGCCCCAGCACCCCGCGGGTCCCCAGCCCCTCACCCCGGCCTCGGGGCGCTGCGGGGCAGCGCGGGGGGCGGCGGGTGGAGCGGGGCGGGGGCCGACAGCGGGTGCCGGGAGTTATCAGCGGGGCGCAGCCCGGTGCACCGGGCTGATGCAAGAGCCGCCGGCGGGGCTGGGGGGGGCCGAGGGGGCCCGGGACAGGCCGGGCTGGGGGGCCGGGGGCCGCCAGTCCCGGGGCCAGGCGGGGCAGGAAGGAGGAGGCCGGGTCCGGAGCCGGCCGTCGGTCCCGTGGCCCCGCCGCGGCTCCTGCGCCCCACCGGGGATCCCGTGGCCCCACCGGGGATCCCGTGGCCCTCCGCCAGGTGTCCGGGACCCCACCCCGGCTCCCGCCGCCCCCCGGCCGGGAGCGAGCTCCTGCATCACCCCGGTGAGATCTGGGGAGGCTGGTTTCCCCCGAAGCCCCCCTGCCCTGCCCTTGCCCCTGAGCCCCCGTGAGAGGTCCCTGGGCCGGGGTGGCGGGGGGACAGCAGAGGTCCTTGGTCCTCCCAAAATGCGGGGGACCCCACGGGGGTCTGGAACAGGGGGTCTGGGAATGCCGGGGCAGGACACCCCCTCCCAGAGGCTCTGGGCTGGGGGACAAGTGCAGGGTCATGGGGTGGGGGGGGTGGAATGGGGGGTCCGGACCCCCGGGTCCCTCCGGGGCTGCCCCGGGGGGGCAAAGGGGGGGTGCAGTGCGGGGGCAGGGCGCCCCCTGGCGGTTGTCCCCCGGCACAGCCCTGGGGCAGCTGCGGGAGGGGAGCGGGGGGCACAGCCCGGGGGTGGCAAAGTAGGGGCCAGGGGGG